TTAGAATACATGATTTTTCGTGTTATTCAGTGAATCGTTTTTGCATTGATTACTCGACAACTCTCTCCATATCACATCCACATTGCAGGTATCATGGGCGCTGGTGAAGAAGAAGGTTTAAAACTTGAAAATGAAGGTTAGTGTGTATTACCTCTGTTACTCCAATGAAATCATTTGATTATATTTATTCTGGTACTATTGTAAATGTCATTCTTAGTGTTACTAAAAAATCAATAGTGCCTTATAGAATTAACCTATAGAATTAATTCTAGTATGGTCAAAAGAGGTTAGAGTTTGCTTTCCAGATGTTACGTGTATGGTACGCTATTTACTGCTGTTTTTCATTCATATGAAATGCAACTCTCATCTATTTGATAACGAGCTAGCTTAGTTGTCTCACCTTCATCTATCTCTGCACGCTGAGTGATATATTGAAGTTCCATGATACTGTAATGAATAAATAATAAAGTCAGTAAGACCAAATGGAACTATTGACTTATTTGCAGAGCAAGTAAGTTATCGGTTATCTTCTTTCACCATGTCTTCTTATATCCTCAAAACACTCTGATTGCGCCATAAATCCGGATCTGACATATTTCGCTTCGGCAACAACTTTAGCGCAGCACTGAGCTGCATACATACTATTTATAAGCCGCGTTGTGAGTAGAAGCAGTAGTAGTAGTAGTGTGGTGCGAGCTACTTATAAGTAGTATATGACGTGAGTGTCAACATAATGTCTGGCAGCAGAAGATGGGGGAAGATCAAGAAAGGAAGAGTTAGAACACAATGGAATTTGTATGAAACTCATGAATAGTGACAATGGATTGATGTTTTGTATCAGGAACAGTCGAGTTCGATATGATGAACTGATCTTTTGCAAATGAACGATTTACGATATGGTTTTCCGATTTTACTGAGTAACTCTGTAATTTTCGTTAAATACAATTCGGTTGCCCCACCTGTGTTCTCGTTCACTACAGTTTTAGTAGTAGTAGTAGTAGTAATAATAATACACACCACAATACTAGTCATCCACTGGTAATGATATTTTCTTCTATATCAGCAATCTGTTGAATTATTCTTAAACAATGTCGTATAAACTTATCAACCAATTATCTTATATTCTTTTCTTTCCTTTCTGTATGACACAATAGCATTACGTTCATTACTAAACGATGCTAATCATTTAATCAGTACAATTAAATCGCATACATTAACATTGGAAACAGAATTAAATGCAAAAGTCAATGATGTCGATCGTTTATCCACTGAATTGTGTCGATTGAAAAATCGTCTCCTTTTAGATGGTTTAACACAGTATTTAGAAAGAGTATAAAAAATATTATTCATCATTCATTCATTATCAACAAACCTATGAACCGAAAAAATAAATCGATTTATTTTCTAGAAAAAAGATTCACATACACATATTTCAATAAATCATCTATTGAACAATCGAATTCAATGTTCAAGTCATTGTGATTACACTATTTTCTATGATGATGTTGATCAGTCATTAGATGACTGACTATCAGATTTTCAAAACTGTTGTGTATTGATTTTGTTGCATATTCTTGGTTGATTTTTCTCATTTCTGTCTCTCTCTCTCTCTCTAGTTAACTTATTATGTTTTATATTGGCTGTTCTGTTTTGTATTCTCAACTGTGTTTACTATAAAAACATGGTCTATTTGTATTTTTGATGTAATGTGATTTGTTTGTTTGGCCGACTGACTGAATGACTGACTGACTGTTAGTCTTCTTCCTTTAACCGCCGCTCATCAAGCACTTTATTTGTTTGTTTGATTTTTTTTATGATTACGATTGTCGTCGTCTGTGCAAAAAGGCATTTAATTTTTTTTAATTACCATTGTGATGATCATTTACATGGTACGTACGTACGTGTTCACTGTACTTACCATGTGATCTCTGGTTCAAGTTGTTTGTTGAGCGAGTGTGTACGTGCTTTTTTGAGGCAAGCATATTGACCTAGGTAGAGTTTAAGATTCCTTTTTTGGAGAGTATTGTTTTCTTATTAATTTTTATGATTTATTGATCTTCTTTTATTCTATAGATATATATATTAAGTGTTTCTAAGTTTGTTTGATTGAAATAGACGTTGTTTTTAGCGCAGCATCAGTACAGTACACTTCAGTCGATTCAAATACACATATCCAAATATATGTAATGTGTGTATGTATGTTCCATGATATATATTCTGTTAGGCTTCAACAACAGATCTGTAAAAAAACAGTTCAAAAATAATGAACATGTCTATGTATGTGTTTATCGGACAGAAGCAGGCGAGATGCGAACAACGTATCTCCCATCGATATTTTCCTCAGCGCATCAGCGACAGTTGTTCGTTTATTTTGCGTTTACACTGCCACGATGAACAACATATCCTGTCGTCATCATTTTCCACAGAAAATAAACGACCAATAATAATCATCATAATGACAATATCCAGATTAGATCTTCCAATATTTCTTTCTTGTGAGATGATGATTGTGAACAGTTGTTTTGTTTAAATTTTTTTTCCAAAGTTTCAAACAAGAACTCACGCACACACATACACTGTGTATCCAATGGCGGATACCCATTTTTTTTTAATATTAGATGTTCATTAGAGTATTTATGATAGTGTGTATTAGGTGACAAATGCAGAGACAAGGTGTCTCACAAGAACAATGTTGTTTATTTTGTTTTTATTTTATCTGATTTTTTTCTGTTTTAAACAAACGTTTTTACACACACACACAGAGAGTTTGATGTATTATAATATATACACATTCCTCATATGTCTTCATGAAACTTAGTTCATTATGAGTTTAAATGAAGAGGACAGTTTACTAAAGTAATTGTTCGTTTTTCTTTTAAAAATTTTATTTAAATGAGAATTAAAAAATTGGAAAACTGATAACTACTATTTTCAATGTAGTTTAGTGTGGTTCTCTTTTAATTATCGCTAATAATACAATGGAACAGTTCAATTAATCCGACTGAATCGTATATCATTAACAAAACTTGTGTACTACAATTGTTTAATCAAACAATTGAATAGACCTGATTATCTATAACTTCATGCAGTTAGTTATTCAAAGAGGAAATGGAAATATTTGGGTGATAACGTTGATTGGGGGAATAATCGATTGACTGACTAGAATTTACTCACACTTGCATTTGGCTTATGTCATGTGACTTTCAGATGTTATGTGTGATTTGCACTTGAGGAGACGTTTAGTGCATAGAGAGTAATGTCTGTACAACTTGATGATACTGTTGAAAATTTGTTGTCTTCGACTTGTTGGAATTACTGTACATAGATTTATATACTGTCTTCCTTAGCGCTTAAGTCTCATTCAAGATGGAAGGTGTATGTAGGGAACACCAAAGTAGATTGGTTAGAATTACAGCTTCTGAGTATGAATGTACTCAAAATTACAGCGATCACACTAACCATTGATTGATTGGTAAACCAAAAACATTATGAACGAAGAATATTCTTTTGAAGCTCCACAACTCAACTTCCAGATTATCAATCCATAAAGACGTGTCCAGGTTCAAAGCAAAGGAAGGAAGTGTTCACTTGAATAAGTTTGTGAGTAAAATGAAGTTGTCAGATTAGTGATCAGAATAAATGTAGTTAACATGAATTGAAAGAGATCATAAAAATGCAGTAACAAATCGGGATTCAAGTGGTATGTAGAATAACATAAATAAGGTATGAACTCATGAACAGGAGTGGATGCTGAATAAACCCCTCAAAATGTTTGCGAGCTTTATAATAAGAATATTAACGCTACAAAAATGCAAAGAAAAAGAGAGGTTGCATGAACAATAATGAGATTATTATGATGAAGGTGTTTGTTGACTACTAATTAGATCAGAAGTTGGTCAAGGTCAAAGGAGGCGTTTAATAATTGAGCATATTTCTTCTAGACACCAACATTTGGCTATTTAATATGAACAGCTATTGCTTCAGTCATCTGAAGGTTTCTTAGGTTGATGGACTATGGCAAATTGCTGTTAACATGATATATTATTGTAAGAGAGTACTCCATGTTGACTGGAATCGATGTGTTAACATATCTCACTATACCTTTTCTTAATCACACTAGGAGCCTGAAAATACAAATTCCTAGCCTATGTAGTCTGAATGACTTGACATAGTGATGATCTTTCTCTAAAATATTGATATCTATAGAACATCGTTTTCCTAATACAACGAATCTCTGTCAACGATCTACGGATAATCGACGGCCAGTACAACAGATGATTCTAAGCATTTTACTTACTCGCTTACACCTGTTACCCCCAACGGAGCGTAGGCTGCCGACCAGTGCTCTTCAACCTACTCTGTCCTGGGCTTCCCTTTCCAGAATCTTATCGTTTGATAATTTTCATAAAACATTATACGTTAAACCGAAACTATCCATCTATGTATAGTAATATCAATGTTTCGAAATAGTGGTTGTTTGTACCTTATAGTCCATGTACGACACAACAATTTCAGCGGACTTGAAACTATTCAGAACTGATGCTTTCTATAAATAAACAACATTTGACAAAATGTAAAGTAAGATCCTTCTTTCATTCACACAGAGTTGTGCCTCCAAGTTCGGTCGTGTGGACTGTGATGCATTGAACATTGAGGAGTTGTTTCGTGTAATCTCAACTCACTCCGTACACTTCCGCTAAATACAAAAGGGGGTTATAGTCCTGTAGAGAATTACATGCTGTGCTCAGTAGCCAACAAATAAATATTTAAAAATATCAAAATAATTCAGGAAAGTTTTTTCAACTATTAATAGGGTGGGTATGTAAGGTATTTCATGTAGTTCTGAATTCCTATGTCCCCAACACGGAAATACCTGTTTCCATAGCCTTTATAAGTCGTGAAACCACTGCACAGCTGTTAGAATCTTGTCATTCTTTATGCGCTCAACTTACAATTGAAAGTTTCTTGGAATAGTCACAGATCATTCACCGTCGATACCTACCATTTTGCATTTTCTATAATGGTGTAACCGTCAGAGTATAGAATATAAATAACCTGTGAGCTAGTTTCGTAATTGTATTAGTTCATTTTCGTACTCTGTAGTAGTAGTAGTATAATATGACTTAAAGTGTTAGTAATCAACTTACATTAAACGATTTTCCGACTAGCACATGCCATTTTATATTGGTGAATAATTCTATTAAATTTGAAATAATTTGGTTGAGAAAATAAAAGAATACTTTGTTTATTTATCAATCATGGTCTGTCATAATTTCGCGACACAGGTCTGTTAGGAAATAGAAACCGTTTGTCGTGTTTATTATGTCTAGGCTATTGCGACAATATTTCAGTTTCAACATGTGAAACTGTTTACACAGGACTAATAACGATTTCAGACATTAACATCGTTGGATACTGGCTTGGTAGACTGGAGGTTAAGCGTTCGTGCACAGAACCAAAGGTCCTGGGCTTGAGTATAAAATATTGATTAACTGCTGAATTATCCATGCATGAATTAATTGTACACATATGTCGTTCTAGACCACATAGCTCACTTGCATTCATGCTCAGGTTATTTTTTATATGAATCATTAAGTCACATAAAACGGTTATCCTAGTGTAACCGTAATCAGTGACTGGAAACTCAGCTTATTCATCCATATTCTTAACTAGTAAATATTCAATGAAATATGCTTTGACCTTAATATGATTGAATACAACTTTTAAATTTTATGTAAAAATTCACATTCAAAATTATCATTAGTCTAATGAGAAGTTGAAAATGATTTTCAGTAAGATAAACTCACTCACTAAATGATATAAATAAACAATATCACTATGACTCTATGGTCGGTCAATTGAAGTTACATTCTGATCCAGTGCTTGTTGAATGAGAGATATCTATTAACATATTCTATAAAATAATATGATTATAGCTCATGTATTAAGACTAATAAATTTGTTGACGGTTCATCAAGCATTACCGTCATTTAAAGTCTCATCTACGTAAGGTACGTTATAGATAACAATCACATAACAGAATATAGTGATAGTCAGTCAGTCACTTAGTTACAACGTAGAACTTCGTACGTAGGTACATAAGTTCACGTTGCCATTCCACATTAGAACAGAGATGCAACTGTCAGTGCAAATCCCATAGTGGTAGAGACAGTAGAAGAAATACTGTTAATGGAGAAGATTAGAATTTGAAGATATTATTCATGAAGTATAATTCAGTGAGATAAGGTTAGAAAGACAAATGTAGAGGTGTTGACCAATCGAGAAGATTCGGATTAGAGAGAACACAAACAGTGTATGCACCTGCGCCATTGCAAA